GACATTAGCTAAAAACATGCTGACATTAGCTAAAAACATGCTGACATGGAGCTGAAATGAAAGAACAAGCCTAGATTAGCAGAAGAAAACAGAAAGAACACATAATTGCTGAATTGTGTTTAAATAAGCAGAAATGAGCACAAAAATAAGAAATTAGCTAAAAATAGCTGAAAAGTAGTTGAAAAGGCAGAAAAAAGCTTAAACTAACAGAAGGAAATGGAAAAAGCTCAAATTAGCTAAAAATGAGGAATTAGCTGAAAAAGCTAAAATTAGCATAAAACCACTACAGAGCAGCTGAAATAGTAAAAATAGCTGAAACTAGAAGAACAAAGCTGAAAGGAGCATACCAAGCTGAAATTACCATAAAGAAGTTATTTATGCAAAAAAAACAGCTAGCATTACCTTGAACATTTTGAATTTATCTGAAAATTGATGAAATTAACTAAAAAAAAAAAAACTAAAAAAATTAAAAGTAGCTGAAAAGGTAGAACAAGCTTCAATTAGCAGAAGAAAGCAGAAAGAACACGTTTGCCCGATTAGGCTGAAAAAAGAAGAAATGAGCACAAAAAAGGAGAAATTATCTGAAAAAAGTTAAAATTAGGAAAAAAAAACAGCTGAAAAGTAGCTAAAAAATATGAAAGAAGCTTAAATTACAAGAAGGAAGTGGAGAGAACACATTTTTTCTGAATTAGTCTAAAAAAAGGTGCAACAAATATGGAATTAGCTGAAAAATCTTGAATTAGCATCAAAAGAGCTAAATTGTAGTTGAAATGGGAGAAAAAGCTGAAACTTGCAGAAAGGAGCATAATAAGTTGAAATTAGCAGAAAGAAGTTTGAAGAAGCACAAAACAGCTGACAAACAGCTGGAAGTAGCTGAAAAAAGTTTAAATTAGCAGCAGGAAGCTGAAAGCAGCTGAAGCAGAACAAAATGTGAAAGGAGCAGTAAAAGGTTGTAAACACAGCTAAAGATCTGAAGGAGGTAAAATGAGCTCGAATGCTTCTGTTCAGAGCCCGAGATGAATTCTGGTGCGACTTGGCGCTTTATAAATAAACTGAATTGAATTGAATTTGTTTTCTATTAGAAAAGGCTAAATATTTCAAAAAGCTAAAGTTGCACCAAAACCAAAAGTTATAGCAGGATTGTCCTGAAAGAGCCGAACGTTTTGATTTGATTTGTTGAACTAGCACAAAAATTGTGGAAGAAGAAAGATGCTGAACAACGTACAAAGGGAGATGGATCACAACAGAGAATGCTTCGTAAACATTCAGACACTTATGATAAAGGTCACAAAAAGAAGGGACAAAAGACCTAAAACTAATTAAATGAGCTCTTGAAACGCACAGAATGAGCAACGTTAAAATTCAAAGACAAACTGAAAACATAATGGTGGCATTTCTTAAAACGGAGTGAAATACTCCATTTATCTGAATGTGCGTGGACCTTTGGTTCCCATGCCACTCTTTCATTTGGCTTAGCATTGCAGCTAAAGAGCTCTTACTCCATCTTACAACTTATCCCGTAAAGACGAGTATTTGGCAGGGCTGTTTCAAGTGTCCAGCCCGTGAGCAGCAGAAGAAGAGTGTTTTCATTAAAAGGGTTTTCATTGTTTGAACTGCGAGACGGGGGATAAGAAGGCTTAAATCAGCATCTGCACCAGATTCCACCATAACCCCTGCAGGACGGCCAAGGTGCTTTAAAGACCCCTTGAACAACTTTCACACACATTTTCTCCTCCACCTGTGAGATGAAGTTACATTCAGCTACTGAGCTTCTCAGGTGGCGATGGGAAAGATGAATCCACTCACCGCTCAACTACCAAACTGACGGCCTGGGTCAAGTCTGGATTTGCCATTTGCAGGCATTTCCACAGAGACCACACAAACTCCTTGTCTGCCTGCAACAAAGAGTTCAGCAAGTCGTTAGCTGCTCGTTTTAATTGACATACATACGTTTCATGCATTTTGTAACACATTTGACTTTGATGATTGCCTAAAAGAAAAAGCAGCTTCTCATCGGCCTTAAAGATAAAATATTAAACAGGATGCTCAGTGACATTAGCATATGACAGTGGGGGTAGTCAATCAATAATTTAAAACAACTCGTACAAAACTGTTTTTCATCCAGCCTGCCCTCTCTAATCATGAAGCTCCCTACGCAGCGGAGATGTGACCTTCGACTCAAGGGGAGCAAGCATTGACACTTGTCATTATGAACTATTTATGACTGCGGAGAGCGAGGAGCCAAATCAAAACATGGTAGTCGGGCGTGCACGTGCTTTATTAATCAGTTGGTCTCTGTATGTGTTTACCATCCGGAGCGCTAAAGAAACTCAAAACTGATGACAGAGAGAGTCGTCCTGAAGTTTTGTAAACCCACAGCCAGCCCCCCCGACACATTTCCAATTCAAATGGTCTTGCTGGGATTTCAAACATTTTGAAGCTACATTACATTTAATGAGGGACATCTAAAAACTACATTTGACATTAAAAGAGACTTACACCAACTCGACTTAATATAAATTTATCTGATAAATTATGTTCGCATCATCAGAAGATAAAAGTCGACCCTCCCACTGGAATCTACTGGTCTCCAATTAGTACATGAATTTTCAGCCCCCGTTCAAAAGTGTCTAATGCATTATTTAGTAAAATGGCAGCATCAGCCCTTGATAAGGACACGAGCTGAACTTACAAAGTGGAAGGACATCTGTAGATCACTGTCTGTGTATGTGCATGTACACGGGGAGGCAAGAGGGTGATGAGGGATGCAGATCCCACTAAATCAACGCTGGAACACGGCTAATGATTAAATGAGGCGGCATGGTTTACTTGAAATATGTGGCCTCCCTCCGTCTGGCCTTTGGCTGCCATTAACCGTTCCACTGACAAGAGCTCAGTGAGGACCCTCATCAAAAAGCTCTCCTCTGCCGTATGTGCACTTAAAGATACATTGAATGAGTGTTTGATGATCGCTGAATTATTCATTTTGACTCTAGATCCTGAAACACCATGGGCTAAACATGGCAGAGTGGGAGAGACCAGTGGAATTCAGGACGTATTAGTAAAATTAGCGTGGTCTTGGTGGAACGTTTGCTGGCTGACAGATGAGACTCTTTGTAGTTAATGACTGTCCTGAAGTACGTTATGCCAGAGACTTAAGACATCAGTGGTATTCAAATGGCACTATTTAAAATGTGCATTACACATCTTAGGCTCCTTATTAGATAAACAGAATCACTGATGTTCTTACTCTGGACAAGACCACCAAAGATGGTTTCCATGGCAGCTCAATAAAAACAAAAATCTCCGAAGTAAACAAAGCATTGTGGTAAATATCACATCACCGGAGCACCACTTCCTGCCACAGAGGACATCTACAGGAAGCAGTGTCTGAAAAAGGCTGGGAAAAAGATCAGACTCCAGCCACCCAGCACACAGGCTCTTCAGCCTCCTGCCCTCTGGGAGGCGCTGCAGGAGCCTCCGGACTAAGACCACCAGGTACCGGAACAGCTTCTTCCCACAGCTGTCACACTCCTGAACTCCTGACATCTGAACAACAGTCTGGATTCTCATACACAACAACAACACATGGACCACCTGACCTTCATCTGTTAGCCCACTACTGTACACATCATTTACTACCTACTGTGCCTACTTATATATATCATTTTTCTTTTACTGTATAGTTTGTTAATACCCCTTCATATTTTAACCTGTTCATAGTCTGTACACTCACAACCTGTATATATTTATACCTATAGCATATTCAAAGCAACTTACTGTATATTGTACTATATATATCTACCAATTTCTTTGTTGCTAAGCATTTCTAGATGGATGCAAACTGCACTAATAATGTAAAATAATTTACAGTTACAGGTATTAACAAGAGAGCTGCTCAGTTCTTGGAGTGGACCTGCAGTCTCTGACAGAGGATGATGAGGAACCTGCTCCAGGTCCTGAACAACACGTCACCCCCCCTGCATGACACCCTGGACTCTTATCGTAGACTGAGACCACGAGGTGCTCCACAGAACAACAGGAAGTCCTTCAAACGGTTCAACTCCTCCTCCTTTCTGCACAATAACATTCATCCTGCAATAAACACTTTAATGTTTCTGTCTGCACCTGTTTGAGATCTTAATTGTTGGTATTTTTTTGTATATCTTGTGAGATTCCTTGTGTCTGTTCCTTTGTACTGAAACTCTGACACAGTTTCCTGCAGGATCAATGAAGTTCTGTCTTATCTTCGTATCTGATCAATGCATGTTGACTCGCCTGCTCAACGTTGGCAACCCTCAGCACTACGGTCAAATTAAACGATCAAGCAACTTTACGCTTTGGAATAGGTTTAAAAATGTATTCATGTACAACTTGCTCTGGATAATTTAATTAGAAACAGGAGTTAAGCTGTTGATTGACTTTCCCTTGAATAAATCAAATTACTTGTCATAAACGTTGAAGAAAAAAAACAATGTTTAGTAAAATTGTCATCCATTACATTTATTTTAAAACTGAGTTAAGTGCAAGTTTTAATATTTCAACTGACAGAGAAATCAAAGGCTCTTTAGTTTTAATTAATTTAAGTTATTTCAGGAGCAGGAGCACAAAATTCATCAAGTGCTTGGTGGTGGGGGGGTGGGGGGGTCTAGAATAAAATAAGTATTTGTAAATTCAGATTTTGCACATGGTGTCCTTCTTTCAGACCCATAGCTTCTTCTTCTAATTGTCAAATAAAGGCCATGGTTTAGAGTTTCATTTCTTCATAAATTATATATAAATTAAACAAGTTATTTACATATTTGTATAGATGCTTTTAGTTAAATAACTTTTATTAAAACAGAACATTTCCAAATCACCGTTTAGCTTCAGAACAGAATCTGAAGACTTCTTCCACAAAAAGGATCAAAGATTCAATGCACGTGTGAACTTGAGTCACTGAATGACTTTGAATGGATGTTTTTGTGTCCCAGTAAAATTTATGAATGTATCAGACCTTTGTTATTGCATAAACACAAACTGATTCAAACTCATGGAGCCCATCAGGCAACAGGCACGCATGCTGTCAAAGCAGCTCTGCAGTAGATGCTGCAGTCTGGTGCGTTCAGTGTCATCTACTGTCTGACTAAAACTCAGACCTGCTGAACTCTACACCGTCACTCGACTTGAACCATAAGGTTGTCCTTATATGCAAAATAAGACATGCTGGGTCAATAATACACCCGCGTTATAAGACACCACCTTGTGGTGAGTATGTGAGGAACCTGGAAACACTGATCCACTAAGATGGAAGCTTCTCACATCTGATGAAGAGCATTTAGTCTCTTTACACGTCGAACATGAAAATGTGGCTGTGCTGAAACTTCCTGTTGTGTTTGCTGAACCTTGAGAAGAGCAGATCTCTGAATTTAAAAAGACTACAGGGCTAAACAGCTAAATATCCTTTATGCAGTTTATTATGGAACATCTGCCCCCACTCTCTGAACATAGAGCTACATTGTAATTTTAGCTGTAAATAGTTGCAGAGGGGAGTGGTGGTGCAAAGGTCAGAGGGCGAGCATGAGCTCAAGAGGGACATCTTTGAATTTTGCTCTGAAATCCTAGGTCACCTGTTCGAGTCCCCCTGACAGTAACATCAAAATGTGGGTGGGAAACATGAAGCACCTGCTCCACTCTCAATGTGAACACTGAAGGAGGGAGCAGCCAAAAAAAAACAAAAACAGCTATAGTTGCCAGTCAGAAAAATTTTAATGTGTTATGTTGCATTTACTGTAGTATAGTTATTACTTTTACAGTGTTCAATGGTAAAGAAACAGGGGGAGCAGAGGAGGTGAGCCTGTGACTGGAAGGTCACCAGTTCAACTACCTGGACCAACATCATGAAAATGTGGGTGGGAAACATGAAGCACCCCCACCTGCCTCCACCCTCGTTTGCCCCACTCTGAGCCCTTGAGCAAGGCCCTTAACCCCCACCATCTGCTCCCCTGGACAAGCTACACGGCCGTCTCTGCTCCACACAGAGGCTGTGGCAGCGCCAGGAAGGGCAGCCGGCAACAAATAAAAACAAATCTTCATGCCCTGAGGAAGGGAGCAGCCGAAAGGAGAAGAATGATAAAAGAACAATATGGATGCATCTGATGGAGTAGCAACACTTTGAGTAATGATGTATTGGTTACTACAGCCAACTGGCCACAAAAAAGGCCAGCAATCAGCCAATTTTACTGATATTAAAAGTGGAGCCCCACTGATATATCTGTATGGCCGGTATTTTAGGCCGATATAGACGTTTGGGGACATATCGGGACATATCTGTGATAATTGTTCCATGATGCGCAGATATAAACACTTCTAATTTTCACCCCTAAAATGCTGGAACCAGCTGAAATTGTACAATGAATGCAGCAGAGGGCACATGAAGACCTTTCAAGTCATGGTTGTTCACTTAAGTTTCACTTTGACCATCACAGCAGAAGCAGGGAGCAACGCTGTGTAGCATATTTAGCTGCACGGAGCATGGGAAGTTTATTTTAACTGATCTGTAAAACAAATCAACAATAATAAACTCTCTTTAATCCTCCAACCTGCTGATCTGTTTCACGTTGCTGCTGATCTGTTTCACGTTGCTGCTGATCTACTTCATGTTGGTGTGTTCATGCGTGCTCATCTGCTCACACAGACTCATGTTCATGCTGCTGTTCAACATAATGTTTTTATGCTATCAGTGCTTAGTGTATTTTTAGTTGATGTTTTTCTTAGTTCATATCTTTGATGTTATCGTTATTTTTCTTAGACATTTTATTGTTGGATGTAACTGGGACCCTGTGTGCATAATTTCACTCCACCACATGTACCACACGAGGTGTGAATGACAATAAAGAATCTCTGACTCATCCTGCTTGTCATTAGCTACGTGCCTCTTAAGTTAGCAAGCTAACATTTAGATAACCTAGCAGACTATTGTCTTGTAAAACTTTATCCAGAACAATAAATGTAATGTAGAGGTAAAATGTCTCAGCGTTAGTAACATTATCTTCGTCGTCCTCTATGAAATGCATTGTTTGTCTGAAATTGTTTCTTGTCTGCAAAGAAAAATAAACTCTGCTGTGGTCAATAGACCGTCCCCATACATGACTCGTGGTTTAAACACGTTTCTCTGTTTCATTTGTATTTTTGTAACACACTTGATCATTTCGTTCCACCTCATGTACCACATGTGATGCGAATGACAATACACTTGAACTTGAACTTTATGGTGAATAGTGGAGGATATAAAATGCCCACAGACTTTAGGAAAACTGTTTTTAATGCCAGTGCTGCGCTTGTAAACTTATTGTGGGACTATGTACAGCGTGGATCAGAGGAGCTTAGCTTCATGGCTGCTAACAGCTGCGCTAAATAAACAAGTCCCGCTCCACTTCAGGCTTACTTAGATTCTTGTGGGTGGAAAAAGAAAAATTCAGCCATTGTATCAGTTATCGGTATTAGCCTTTGCTTCCCAATATCAGTATCAACGATAGCCAAAACGTCCATATCGGCTGGGCTCTAATTAAAAGTCTGGAGTGGTAGTAATTGACAGTCATACCCAACACATTCTTCAAGTGCTGGATGATCATGTTGAGATATTTGTTATTGGAGTCAACTCTGTCTGTCTGTTAGCAAAATGTATTATTAACCACTGAATACATTTTTTTAACTTTCCGAAGATAATAATTGGTTTTACATTAACTTTTGGGAGTCAAACCAACATGTTTGTAACATCTAATCAACATTAGCCAACACAGTCAGTTTTATTCTGAGCGCTAACAGATCGCACAAAACCTGCAATATCGTGTGAAACTGTACAAAACTTAGTTTTCAAGTTTGACTAAAATGACCATAACACCATTATCTCTCAAGGTTTAACGCAGCATCAGGTATGTCCTCACCAAACAATGGCAGAATTAAAAACTAATAACTTGGATATATTGAAGATGTGCTGTAAATGCTGTACTGCACACAAACAGCTTGAAGATGAATGTCAACTTCAGTTAAAAGTGTTAGTAGCAGAGACAGCTCATTACAAAACACTGTTACTTTAATATTATTAACTGCTGACATGTGCTGCCCATTGCTTAATGAGATGATAATTACAAACACATGCCAAATACTTTCATATCTAACTTGTACTCTAGTATATGACATAAAAAAACTGAAGTATTTATCACAAGCAACTGAGCAAATAACAGTCAACAACAACAAGAGGTACAAGTACTATTAACAAATACAATGGTAATTTATATTGCAGACCATAAGTTAGTGCAGAAACATTCATACATACCTGGCATTGTAATAATTCATCGGATAAACTCTTCACCTGTGCCTCCAACACCAGGAGGCGACCGTCTTCGTTAGTGGAGCACATTTTGAGCCTTGTAAGATGCAAAAAGACCGAATCAGTTTAGATGAAACTGCATCGTATCATCTCACAAAGATGACATCACGATGCACAGCTTCTTACCTTACTGCATATGCTACAGGATTACAGACCCGTTCTCTAAAATATACTCTGTTTAGACACGCTTCACCTCTAACGACACCAGAATCATCAGATCCTGGGCAGCATCAGTAGAAATAGATTTGATTTACGTCATCGGGGTGGCTAACTCTGCTAGCCTAATGTTAGCCCCCGTAACGTTTACGGTCAAACTTTATGTTTTGTATTCGATAACAACTTTCCGCATAAAGTCCATGAAGCAAACAACGTCAGGATATGATCAAAAAAAGACCGTATATTAACGATATAATACCTCTAAGTTTACTCTTTTTTTCTACAACTCCATAACAAACTTTGCGGGAGCCGGATATCAGTAACTATGGAGACGATTCAAATTAGCCCGCTGCTTTCCGCCTTTGCGACATTTTACGATAGTTTCCTTCGCAATACGGCGGAGAGTTTAGGGGCGAAAACACAAGTACTTGTTTTTAAAACTCAAACTTTAAAATTAATTTACAACTGTAAATACAGCATTTTGGAATAATAGACAAATACTGCACGCAATATGTATAAAAGCCCGTTTATTTTTTCAGGTTTGAAAAGGAATACAACGTCAAATGTAATAATGACTTTCAAAGTTATAATTATGAGATACAAATTCATAATTTTAACTTTCAAAGTCATAATATTGATGTTCAAAATCATAATTATGTGTATATAATTATATATACATTATATATCATTTGCCTTTCGTACCACGTGGTGGAACTAAATTGTGTACACAGGGTCCCAGTTACATCCAACAAAAGTATAAAATGTAAAAGAAAAACAATAATAAGATCTAAGATATGAACTAAGAAAAACGTTAATTAAAAATATGCTAAGCACTCGTGCTTTGTAGTATAAAAACAATATGCTGAACAGCAGCACAAACATATTGTTTTTGTATATATGTATACATGTGTGTGAGTTTAAAAGTAAAAAATATGACTTTAAAAGTCGAAATTATGACTTTGTATCTCACTGAAACTCATTATCATGACATACCATTTTAGCGTTGTATTTATTTCCATTGGTGGAAACGAGCTTCCAAACATCCATCCGTCCATCCATTATCTTTACCCGCTTATTCCATTTTGGGTCACGGGGGTCGCTGGTGCCCATGTCCAGCAATCACTGTGCGAGGGGCGGGGGACACCCTGGACAGGTCTCCAGTCCATCACAGGGACACATGGAGACAAACGAGACAAACAACCATTCACTCTCTCACTCACACCTAGGGACAATTTGGAGTTACCAATCAGTCTAACATGCATGTTTTTGGTCTGTGGGAGGAAACCGGAGTACCCGGAGAAAACCCACGCATGCACGGAGAGAACATGCAAACTCCACCCAGAAAGGCCCCTGGACCGGGATTTGAACCAGGGACCTGCTTGCTGAGAGGCAGCAGCTCTACCAGTTGCACCACCGTGCTGCCCAGCTTCCAAACAACAATTCCAGTTTGTAAGTAAGTTCCAAAATGGCCCCAAAAATAAATTAAAAAATGCATTAACCATAATTAATTATTTTAATACATTTTAGTACTGTAAGTATTATTGGCTTTGTCACTGTAATACAATGAAAAAATATAAACCTAAATATCTGTTTTTCTCTAAATATATTGCAGAAAGAGAATTAAACCCAAGTCCAATTTTTGACACCTTCCAGCCTGCCCTCCTTAACTGCTGAGATAATTAATAATAATAATTTTAATGATAATAAAAATAACAATCTTATTTTATTAAGCATGTACTTCAAAACAGCCCAGCCTTGGAACTGATACTGGATCAATTTAATTAAATAATTAATAACATTTAAAGCAGTTTTAAAATGTTTGCATGTGCTGAGCAAAAACACAAAAATACAAATGAAAGGGACAAAGAATGCAATAATGGCTGTGACTTTAATATCACTAATTAGTATACATTCATTATCTTTAATGCAAAAACTGAAGAATAATTATAATCAAAAGGGTTTTGTGTAATAAAACAATAATAACAGAATAGTGGAAATCTTGTTAAAATTGAAAGCCAACCTGTTCTTCAGACAGTCATGCATGCGTTGCAGCCTGCGGCACCCGGGTGGTTAATGACGCTGTCATGAAATCCTGCAGCTGCAAGTTGGTGTCCAGGTTGTGTCCAGAAGGGCATCCAGCCTAAAACAATTACAAACCTTTCAACCGAGTCTACTCGCTGCAGCAACACATGCATGGGGAGCACCCCAAAGAAAAACATGCATTTGATAAAGGCTCATATGAGCACAAGTTTCACTATAAATCCATGTGCACGTATGATTATAAAGCAAAAGAAGACTGGCACACACATCATGAGGCAATACACACAGTTAACGCTGATTCTTGCTTGTGTTGGTAAAAAGCTGCTTGCTTGGGAAGAAGAAACACGACATCTGTTTTGCTGGTGAGACATGACAACTCCATATTGTGTGGCTAATGTGTTTAACTGTCCTGCCAGATTTGGAGCATGTGGCGAGAGAGGAAAATGAAGAAATATGACGAGTGCTGCTCCTTTCGAGAAAGACAAATGTTGATTTTTCTGTTCGCTGACACACACGGACAAAGATAAGATGCAATTGACTTAGCCCAATTAGGTTGCTCCTTCACCCACAAACACCACCTCATCCTCCGAGCAACGTTAGAGGCTGGTGCACGACGCACAGCATCTGCCTTTTCCTGTTTCTTGTTCAGACGCATCAAACAACACATGGCTTCTGTGGATCTCCCACTAATGAAAGAAAGTGACCACCAAGCCACAGCAACGGGTTTTTGAGTCTGGTCGTTGGCACACGTTCCTCTTGTTCAAGTCAAAATAATAACCCGCTCACTAAAACTACTTGAAAACGTTTGTAACTGTTAGAAGAATGTACATCCACGATATGTAACATGTATGCTCTTTTACTGAAAGAAAGATGAAAAACCGTGTCTTTAATGACCAACTTGATTACTTTCAGAAAACGGACACAGCCAGGACCGGTGAAACTCCAAGGAATCAAAAGCAGGAAGAAGTCCAGAAGCAGGAAGCAAATGTAACTAAATCAAAGTAATTCAACACGATCACATCACACAAAAACTAAAAGCAGTCCTTGAATCAAGATGTTTTGTCCTCCACATTTAATGACAGTTTTAATTGCCTCCAGCCATCGTTGAGAGGAGTTCATGCTTGTGTTGAAATCAGCTGTCAGTTATTAGCACAGGAACTTTACAACTTTCTCCTTCCTCACTCAAAAACAACATCAAATATAAGAACAGTTATAATCAAATTTATACCAGCAACACGTTGTAGAAAGTTGGTACAGACACTATGGAATCTAAAAAAGTTAAATCTGGTCCTCTGGACATTCAAAAAAGCCCAAAACAAAGCAAAACAACAAAAAATGTAGAAACGTTTCGTCTCTCGTCCGAGAGACTTCTTCAGTCTGAGGTGCTGTATTCAGCTCAGTCTCTTAAATAGCACCTTCTCAGAGTGGATCAACCAGTTTGCTGCTGACAACCAAAACCAGCTGATCACATACTCAAGAAGGACCATCAGCCTAACAATGGATCATTAGCACCTGATGGCTGTTTACTGTTCACAGAGGGCTGAGTGATACTCTAACTAGTTTGAGGCAATCCTGGCCAAAGTGGTTCAAAATATCCTGATGCATGCTCCTTCTTGAGCATGTGATCAGCTGGTTCTGGTTGTCAGCAGCAAAACTGGTTGATCCACTCTGAGAAGGTGCTATTTAAGAGACTGAGCTGAATACAGCACCTCAGACTGAGGAAGTCTCTCGGACGAGAGACGAAACGTTTCTACATTTTTTGTTGTTTTGCTTTGTTTTGGGCTTTTTTGAATGTCCAGAGGACCAGATTTAACTTTTTTAGATTTTTCTACCTGGATTATTGAGCATGCATCAGGAGACACTATGGAAGTTTATACTTTTTATAAGTAATGACTCCATAAACAGGAGTTCATGTCTGGATACAAAACGTGCAACACAAGGAAAGTAGATGTTTCACTGAAGATGCAAGATGGTTCTCTGCTCTGTGCCAACTCATTTTCAGGAACCGTAGCTGCTCAGGTGAAACTGCACGATGTCTGCGTTTGACCACAGAGGCTTCTCATCTGCATGGTCAGTGTTCAGAGCCTGCTGTGCATCCAGAAACGTGCACAGCTTCAGCTCAGAGGGACAGAAAGGTGGTCCACATGCGTTCTGTGGTCAGCTTGCTCTCTGCAAGCACATGCAGCGCTCTGTGTGCAAAAATAAAATGAAACAATCTGTATATTATCAGTAAAATGTGTCAGATTCAGCAGCTGCTGCAGGGATTCATCACAGCAAGGACATGTTCGTTCATTCAACCTTTATTTACACAGGTTCATCCCATTGAGCCTCGGGGACTCATTTACAAGAGAGACCTGATTTCAACAAAGTGATGACAACAGTGGACAGTCATAAAAAGGCATACAGATTTATATTTATTATTATTTTACAAATTAAAATAAAATGGCAACCAAAAGGACAGAGGAAAAAAGTAGCAAAAACCAGCTGGATTATAAGGTGGTGTAGAAAACTAAAAACAGGAACATGTCTGCATTGGTTGGTGCAGAAGATGTTTGAAGCCACTTAGAGAAGTCGAGGTCGAGAGCTTCAGATCTTTTGCATGTACTGGAACTTTGGACAAATGCAGACTTGATTCTGCACAATTTAAAACTTTGTGAAGTTTTAGACACACAAATTGTTTAAATGTCTGCGGTACAAACTTTAAGCCTCGTTATGTGCATGAACATCAGACGAAAACAATAACGGAATCAAAAGCAGATAAACTCTTTTATTCATTAAAATCTCACAAAACTGGAAGAAACGAGGTGTGTAATTCAAGAAGTAATGACAAGACATGAGAAGTAGCTTTTTTTCATGTTTTTGAATTTGTAATTAGATTTAAGGTCTGGATTTATATCATGGATGAAAACAATCAGATTAATGTTGCTGAAAATATATTTTGTCCATTTGTCTAATAAATAAATGCACAAATTAATGAACAAAATGCAGAATTT